ATATGCATAGGTTTGCCCTTTTTGATTAGAAGCCAATGCATGCTGGGGGGGGGGAGTGAGGCGTACTTGGCATAGGGATGGGTTGCAAAATCTATGGGTTTCAAGCGGCTTGAAAAACTGAACTAGGTTGTGGATGGAGCCCATATGGGCAAAAAGCAGGGGCAATCCAGGAAACAAACTTAAGCTCTTTGAAATCCCCATGGTTTCCAACAGGATTCTGAAGCCCATGCTTAAGAGTTGGTTGTCCTCTGCTCTTTTACCAAAGAAGAAACTCACTGACCACAATGGAAGGACTTGGTTTCAAGTAAATGTGTCCCAAATGCTTGGGTTTATGCATGCAGATGTTTGCACTTTCAGGGAAGAGGAGGGAGCTGCAGTTTGCTGGCTGTATTGTCCTACAGTGTCCTTGTGAGGTATGTGTATCTCTCTCTCTCTCTCTGTGTGTGTGATTATGAGTGAAGTTAAGGGTGGTGGTGGTCGTTGCTGCTGGTTCTCCTTTCTCTACTTCATTCCAGCCTTCCCAAAATGGTTGTGTGTTCTGCATGGGCACCAGTGGTCCCGTGAGGAGGACATAGTGGAATGACAGAAGCTAATTCAAGTAGTGGGACATAAGCCGGAATGTATCCTAGAAGGATTACAGGAGAAGCTGATGCAGTCGTTTATTTCATCAAGAATGATCAGTGGGCCCAGTAGACAATCAATCAATCAATCAATCAATCAATCAATCAATAAATAAATAAATAAATAAATACATACTTAGCAGTAAACAAAGAGGTTTTGGGTTTTTCCGTAAATTCATGCATTCTGAAGTTTCCTTGAGTAACGGATATGAATTCACCAATGATCATGTCTGCTGGAGGACCGAATGAATTGGTTTGAATTGTTTGTCTCAATCTGCTTGTGGAGGAGTTCAAATACTTGCTAGAAGAACAATGCAGCACTAACAGCAGGAAAAGCAGGTGGAGGGCTAACCATTTTTGTGCTGAACTGCAGCTGGAGGTCATCATGTTTACATTTAGTTATCAACAGCATTTCAGTCTTGGCTAAAGTTATAGGGAAACTTGGCTGCAAGGAGCTATGCACCAGCCCCAAATCCACCTCCCTAACTGGATTCATGTAAGTTCATAGGACAGGTGCCTATATAGACTACAACACAGGGTCCTCACATTTGGAAAGGGCTGTTTCTGTGGCTGTTATTGTGCCTGGCGTGTGATTTCCCATGTGACATTTAGAAGTAGTGATGCTGATCGATAATTATAAAAATTACAGGGTGTGGGATCTGTTTTGCTAAAGTCCTCAAGTCTCAGAACAAGCAAAGTGCTATATCAGTGTCATCCCACTACAGCCCAATTTCTGCTCCCTTGTAAAGCAGTGCCTCTCATGTATGGTATAACTTTCTGAATTGATTCAATTTGAGACTTGGCCAGGGTATAGAAAGAAGGTTGTGAAGGTCCATATCCCTTCTTCTGATCCAGACCATCATCCCTTCTCTCCAATTACTGTCAATCGTGCTCCATGGTGTATCAAAGGGATATTTTCCCCATGCAACTTGGGCTTTTGAAAACTTTATCCCTTATGTATCTCAGCTGAGCTCTGCTAGTGAGCAAGAGCCATTCACTCTAAGCTGTATGTTTAAACTCTTCCTCAAAACAGCTTCCCAGGTAGCCCTGTCATTCTTCAACCTCCATCAGATGCATTCCTACATGTGATTCCTGTCTCTCCCCACAGAAGCCTAAACATAGTTTGCATTGGGTCCCCCGATAGTATTGGACTGTCACTCCCATCATCTCTGGTCACTGCCCATGCTTGCTGGGGATGAAGAGTAGCAAAGAAAAGATCTATTCCATGGATACTACTGTCCTGGGACCTTCAACCTATTTACATTTCATGTGTTTGAGCAGGTAGTCTGTAAGCTAAGACACATCTCATTCCTAATTCCTAGGTCCAGCAAGAGTTAAAATTGAAGCAAGGATTCGTATTTTCTAAAGTCAGATTAGGTAATGGGTTATTAAGGAAACAAAGGGAATGGCTCTGTGTGAGACAGCAAAGGTGTGGGCCTCCCTCTTTCAACTCTAGGGTAGTTAGAAAGACAAACACAGAGTTGAGCTGGAGACTGGAAGCAAAGTTGCATGCTGGGAAGGCAGAGAGGCAAAGCGGTGCTTGATTTCTGTTTGAATCCAAGGGTGAGGCTATGGGAGAAAGAAGGCCTTCTTGGGGTGTTAATGCTCTGAACCCCTCCAGGTTGTTTATGTGTGTAAATAAAAAGGTAAAGGTACCCCTGCCCATACGGGCCAGTCTTGACAGACTCTAGGTTTGTGCGCCCATCTCACTCTATAGGCCGGGGGCCAGCGCTGTCCGAAGACACTTCTGGGTCACGTGGCCAGCGTGACAAGCTGCATCTGGCAAGCCAGCGCAGCACACGGAACGCCGTTTACCTTCCCACCAGTAAGCGGTCCCTATTTATCTACTTGCACCCGGGGGTGCTTTCGAACTGCTAGGTTGGCAGGCGATGTGTGTAAATAAACCATATATAATAAAGACATTACAGTCTCTGCTGTACTTCATTCCAAAGGAAACACGTTTGGAATCCTTGGAATCTCACAATGCTAGGGGAATGGGATGGCATGCAGCAATATGTAATGACGTTGCCAGGTGAGCTTCCCTGGATAGAGAATTCCACAAGTGGGGAGCCACCACAGAAAAGGCCCACTATTGTGTTGCCACTCTCTGAGGCACAAAAAAGGGCCTCGGATGATGATCACAGCATCTGAATTGGTTTAAATAAACAGAGAGGTCCTTCAGGTTCTGCAGTCCTGAGCCCTTCAAGGCTTTACAGGTCAAAACCAGCACTTTGAGATGTACCTGGAAAGTAATCTGCAACTAGTGCAGTTGGGCCAGGATTGGTGTTACAGTATATGCTTAAAATGTCTTGCCCCAGTAAAGAACCTAGTCATGAAATTTTGCACTAGCTGAAGATTCTGAATGTCTTTCGAGGAAGCCCTAGGTATAACATATTGCCATAATCCAACCTAGAGGTTCCAGGAGCATAGGAAAAATAACTTTAATAGAATCATAGAATTGTGAAGTTGTAAGGGACCCTGAGGATCATCTAGTCCAACCACCTGGATCCTACACGGGTGTCTGGAGTGCATGCAGGAGCCAGGTCCTGTAACTGCTAGGGCCTCACAGGACTGGGGACTTCCTGAGTTTGGCCTGGACTCTTGGCTTCCTGACCCCTGGACCTCTGATTCCTGCTTCCTGACCTCTACCCCGGTCCCGACGTACCAAGCCGGGACTCCAACTGCCTGTAACCCGGACTGTGACCATGGGGATCAAACCTGCAACCTTGGTGCTATCAGCACCACAGTCTAAGCAACTGACTTATCCAGGCTGATAAAGTTAGGATATCCTTGTCCAGATAAGGCTGCAGCTGGGCCCCCAGCCAAAGGTGATGGAAGGCACTCCATGCCATCAAGGCCACCTGAGCCTCAAATGACAGCAATGGATCAAGAAGTACCCCTGCTCCTTCTGAGGGAGTGGAGCCCAATCAAGAGCAGGCCACCTCTCACCCATCTGGTTTGGGCAACTGTTCACTAACAGTTGTCAGTCATATTTGGATTGAGCTTCAGTTTATTGGCTCCAAACTAGTCCACTAGTGAGGCAAGACATCCACAACCACATCTGCAGATGTAAAGGAAAAGTAGAGAGCTGTGTTTCACCAGTATATTGTTGACAAATTTACTCCAATAGTCCTGAAGAACCTGCTCAATGGCTTCATGTAGATGTTAAGGAACATAGGGGTGGGTGGGGGATCAAACTAATGGATTTCATTAAGTCTAAGTATTGCAGGTCCTGAAGCTTCAAACCATTTGCTTCCTCCCTCCCTCTGTCTTCCTGGAAGAAGCTGTTAGCCGAGCTATTGCTCTCAGCTGAAGAAAAGCCATGTGAACGAAGTTTCTCTCTAAAACCTAGCAAAAGGATTGTGTGATTCCATTTGTGAAGAAATGCTATTTTTTCCTCTTTTTAAATCATTGGGAAGTTTTTTTTTTTTTACTTTTACTATCCAGTGGATGGACATTTGTTGAGTAAAATTGTCACTTATTTGCAAAGTTAAGTGTCTGTGATTTATTCTAGCCTCAGTATTTTTATGGGGAATATCTGTTTAAAGCTGAATGAGGGCAGATGCAAATCAAACCAAATGTTAAGGTGCTTGGAGCAATCCCCATTGTTCCAACTCTGCAAAGAGAGAGTAAGAATTTCTCTTCCAAACCTCCCTCTCTAATATGCCAGAGATCTCTTAAGAGCACACAACTGTCCTCTTCACTGTGCTGTATATCTGGAATATTGGTACAATCATGGAACTCACATACAATATCTGAATGTTGTGATTACTGTAACGTGAATTTAATGAACAAATATATAAACAAAAGGAAAATAAGGATTGCTTTTAAAAATTAACGGATATTGAAAACATTAGCCACAACCTGACCTGAGGAAGGCCTGACCTGGATTTGGGCCTGAATCAATTCTCATGTTTCTTCACACAGACAACACCCTGGAGAAGTAGATCACAGTAAGTGACAGCATTGCACTTTCTGCTCAGCAGCAGGTGAGCAGAGGGTTAATTTTCCTTACTTGGCATGTGTGTGTCTTTTGAGGGTATAGAAATCGAGGACAAAAATGCAAATATTTAGCAAAGTTTACAAAAGAAGCATAACTACCCCATGCCCCCAGCTTAATGTGTAGCGATGAGTGTGTTGTTCAAGGCCCTGGGAAACTAGGGTTGAAATCCCCATTCAGCCATGGGGAAGATGGCATCTCTCAATCTAAGCTTTTTCAGAGAGTTTTTGAGAAATAGCAAGAGAGGGAGAGTTATGTACTCCTTGGAGGGCAGAGAAGATGGAACATACAAAGAAATGATGATCAAAATAAAAGCAAAGGAAATAACATCTCCTTGCCAGAACATAAGGTCCCTGGCTAACGCCATCTCTTTCACCCTCTCAACTATGGTCATCCTTCTTCCTTACTAACCTCTCTCTACTGTTCATCTCAGGTCTAAATATAATGATGTAGATTTTGGGGAGGAAGATGCAACCCAGTAAGCCAGCAGTAGAGGCCAAAATGGAGAAGATCTCCACAGCCACCATGTATTTCCCTTTGGTGCTCAGATAAGTGGGGACAAAGGACAGCCAAACACTGCAGAAGACCAGCATGCTGAAGGTAATCAACTTGGCTTCATTGAAAGTATCAGGCAACTTCCTGGCAAAGAAAGCCACAGAGAAGCTCACAATGGCCAAAAGACCCATGTAGCCGAGAATAAGGTGGAACATGATGTCGGAGCCTTCATTGCACTGCACTATGATTTGCTCATCCTGGGAGTGCAGGTCAAACTCTGGGAATGGGGGAGAGGATGCCAGCCACCCAAGGCAGATGCCAGCTTGAATGAGAGAACAGAAGGTGATAAGGGATCCTGCCAACCTCTTGCCAAGCCATTTCCTCAGGCTGTTCCCAGGCTTGGTCACCATGAATGCCAGAACCACAGTGAGGGTTTTGGCTAACACGCAAGCAACAGCAATGGAGAAGACAATGCCAAAGACGCTTTGCCTCAAGACACAGGTCACCTTTGTAGGCCTGCCAATGAATAAGAAGGAGCAGAGAAAGCAGAGAAGCAGAGAAGAGAGCAAGGTGCAGGTGATGCCCCAGTTGTTGGCTTTGACAATGGGAGTGTTCCAGTGCAGACCAAAGGTCCCCATTACAACAACTGTGACCAGAGAAAGCAGGAGAGCCAAGGAGGCCAGAATTGCCCCCAAGGGCTCCTCATAGGATAGGTAGCTTATTTTTTTCGGAATACATTGGTCCTGAAAGGCATTTGGGTAGTGATCATCTGGGCATTTCTCACATTGATCTGCATCTGAAAATGAGATGCATGCTTTTAGCATTTCATGAAGCAATACTTATTAATATTGATACCGTCTGTTATGCTGTACACAAAACATATTACTGAGCTGATGAACCAAAGTCTACTTTCACAACTAAGTGATGGTTTCTCCATGAGCATTTCAGCTGTACTAATCAATCCATTCATATTTATCTGTCATGGTTAGAGTATACTGATTGATTTCAGTCTTTCCCCCTTAAACATGTCTATCTCTGCATCCAGCCCCATGTCTTTGCATTTCAAGGCTTGCAGCCCAAGTGTTTCTTTGTTGCACTTTCCATAATTGAATTTGGGAGTGGATGAAACAGCCAGGTCGCCTGTCATTTGCTCACTGGGAAAATCTATATTTGACAAGAAATAACTGTTCCCAAGGACTGAAACTGTGTGGATACAGTAGAGAAAATTATTCACTAGTTGTTAATCACAGAAGATGAAAATCTGTTGGCTGCAGGTTCAATGCTGACAAAAAGGGAATCTATGGAGTGCAATCCTAATTATTTCTTCCCAGATGTATGTCATCCTGATTTCAATGGTGGTTACTCCCATGTGGACGTTATTTCACACAATATACTCTTGAATGGCTATCCAAAGGGGAGGAGAGAGGAAAGGACTATATGTATCAGTAACATATTAACACATGTGCTTGGGAGCTATCACAGAAAATAAGCAGACATAATAAGACTAAGAAATGAATGTCTTTGTTGGATAGGAAGATTGGAATTCCAGTTGACTTGGGTTCCTTCACTTACCCTTCTGGTCTGAAATCCTTCCTTTTGGGCACTGAACACAGTCATAGCAACAGATTTGCTTTCCCTGCTGGGCAAACATACTCTGTCCAGGGTGGCAGCTCTCAACACAGGTGGAAATGGGCAGCATCTAATGGGAATGACAAACAAGGGATTTTGAATGGAATAAATCTTATTGTCATCTACGTCCGCTTTGCAGCAGAAAGGTCACAGGACTGAAATTAGAGGATGGCTGTCAAGCATTTGCTCCCTGGGCAAGCATCAGGCCCCCCAATATAGATGCTTTGTGCTGTCACTTAACCATTTGGCCAGCCCAGCACATGTCTGAATGGCAAAGAGAAGCTAGTGCCAACCTTCTCCCTCTTGATTGATTGATTCCTCATAACCCAATGCTGATTCCCTCCTGGAGGGAGAGCAGAGCTGAAATAAGGAGCTGGCAGCAGATGCTGCTTCTCCTTCTTACCAAATGTACTTGAACTTTCAGATTAAACTATACAATGCAGGTAGGTGTTACTTACATTGCTAATACATCTTACATAGATTTTAATCTATGATAAATAATGTTACAGACTGACAGCAGCACAAGAGAACATTCCTGCTGCTCTAACTGTTTAGACTGCTCATAACTGCCATAGCTGTAGAAATTGACATAACTATTCCCTCTTAAAATGTACAGGGTTTATTCTGGGGGGCTACTGGGTTTTTTATTTTCATTATGCATTATGTATGTATTCATTATGTATTTTGTGGTTTTATAGGTTGATCTTATTCTGGGAACCATCCTGAGACCTCTGGGAATAGGGCGGTATATAAATTCAATCCATCAATCAACTACCTCATGCCTGTGACAGCACAGCGTTCAATAGCCTTCTGAGCATTAGCCCTTTCCTTAGCATGGATGCTTTCATCCCCAAAATAGGGTCTTACTATCACATGTGGTGGACCTGCATAAGTATAATTGAATTTTGGAATAACATATATGACGAATTTAAGAAATTATTTAAACTTACAATAAAAAAAAAGGCCGGAGATTTTCCTATTAGGAATATTGCCAATGGAAATCAAGCAAAACACAAGACCACTGTTTATGTACGCAATCATGGCTGCAAGAATCCTTGTAGCCAGAAGTTGGAAATGTGAAACAACACCAACAGTAACAGATTGGCAAACACTCATGACCGATGTAATGGTTCTAGGGGTTGCTTGTGCGTAAACAGGTGCCTATCACCCTGGCTGGGTGCAAACAACTGGCTGGGCTGCCAAAGTGAACCTCTTCTGTCCGGGCAGCCACTCACTCGTGGCTGACTCAATCACTGGCAGAATCCGTGAGTGGGCGTTTCTTAAACTTCTTCCAGCAAAGAAGTTCTTTGATGCCCAGTCTCCGCCTACCCTCTCTGCACGAAAGCCTTCTGCCTTTATACTTACCTTTATTGTATGATTGTATTTTAAATTAATAAAGATTTATTAAAAAAACCAAAAACAAGACTTATGGCCAAGCCTGCATGGAGTTTGGCCTCACCATCAGCCTAATGGAGACCAACATCCTGGGACAGGATATCACTGGCACTCCATCCATCAACATTAGTGACCACACACTTCAGGTGGTGGATGATTTTCTTTCTACTTGGGCTCCGCATGGCAGAGATTTTTGCCAACAACGCATTTTGGAGGACAACAGTCCCTTTTCAAGAGCTTTAAACACTGGCAGATTCCTTACTCAGAAAGATCTTGTTCTGAACACTGAGTTCCAAATTAGCTCCAAACTAGCTCTGGATCAACAAATTTGAACAAAAGAGACAAAAACAGTATTTTATCAGTGAGTACCAGAGCTACTCTCCTCACACTTCTCCTTTGTAGCCATCACTGTTTTCCTGGATCTCTTGATCTTCTCATAAAAGATGATGGTGATGATGGAAGAGGATAAAAAAATAAAAAATGGTCACACCCACCTGCTTGAACTTGGGATTCCATGCAATGGCACTTCCATCCACTGTGAACTCTTTTCCTGGGGGGCCCTGAGGGTCCACCCTCCCCACTCGGACTCTCTGGAAGGACTCATTGGGATATGTGACCAAGTTGAGGAGATCATAGCCACCTGCCTGCTGCCCCTTCTCATCCAAAGAGATTTCTTCCCCAGCACTGTTGTTGAAGTGGATGTTCTTCAGGAAGGAGTGAAGCTAGATTGCAAGAGGGGGAAAAACACAGACCTTGGAGCCTAATACACACTCTCTTTTCCATTTGGCAGGTGGACCTTTGGATTCTTAGTACATTTTATCATATATACTTCAAAAAAATTCCCCCCAAAAATTAACATGTGAAACTGCCATGTGCTGAGTCCAATCATTGGTCTCTGTAGCCCAGAACTGTCTACTCTAAATTGCCACAGTGCTATAAGACATACATTCGAGGTTTCAACCCAGTTCTTATAACAGAGGACACTCCTGGCCCTTGTGCAGCTCCAAGTAGGAGAATCCTGGGATAGATTAATTTAACAAACTTTGAATGTGCAGCTTGCAAAGCATTTGGTCTTTCACTGAGATCAAGTCCCTCCCAATGATAGAACTCAACTGGGAAAACCCCCAAGGCCCATCCTCCATGCCAGGGCTCAGCTGTGCAACATATGAATCAGTAATAATAATACCCGTGCTTCTAACATTGAGGAGATTAGTTGACAGTACCTGCCAGGGCTGAACTTTCTGCTGTCTCCATTTCTCACCCAGTACTTTCTGTTTGGTTCTTGAGGAATACATGCTATGGAGGGCATGTGCTACTGCATGGACAGCATTGTAGATGGTGTAGCTCTGGCTGGACATTTCCATTTCAAACACGGGTCCAGTGAGTTTCTCCAGCTTCTCCCTCCCAGTGCAGGGTTCCTGAGTTGTGTCAATTAGATTGTGATCTGGGAATGAACAGAGGAATGCACTGGCCCAGAACTGCTGGATGAAATAAAGATTTGGCTGCCATGGATTTATGGTCTGTAGAAAGTCCTGAAACCCTGGAACTGGATTTGAATGGAGTGTAAATGACAAAGTGCCATTGAAGGATATGGAAGGAAAATTGCCTCCAACCAGCACTGCAGTGTAATCCCATTGAGCTGTTGTAATCCACACCCTTCTCCACTGGGTACATAGACAAAACCTCACAGGAGACTAAAACCAGTCTCAAACCCTCTAGAGACTGACTGTCTCCATAGACAAGAATCACATTCATTTGCTGCCGTGTGAGAACATACATGATTGGTCTCAATTTTTCTTGAAGTAGCTCAATAGGTAAATATACTGTCACTAGTGGGATCACCAGTGTCCAAGAAATGCAAAGATTATTCTGGGAAAGCCTTGGTCTGAGAGTACGAAGGAAGGTTTCTCCACTGTCATCATCTGAAACAAGGAGGCCAATCCAGTTCCACCCAAACTTCCTGAGTAGCCAGACAATGCCATCATACTGAGCTTCTTCATTGGGGACCATTTGGAAGAAGGAAGGGAAGCGCCTTTGGTCACTCAGCCCTGGATCCAAGGAGCCATAGCTGAGCTAAAGGGAAAGGATTTATATTTTTAAGAATCCAAAGACCATCTATTTGTTCCTAGAAAGAATACTTCTCTATTGTGGTAGTTATCCACCTGGTCTTACTTTTGTAAGTATACACCACTGGCTTTTAAAGTCTCAGGCTAGGATGCTTCTATGATAACATGATTTGTGGCATGGCCAAGTTTGGAAGAACCAGAGCTTGGATTATTAATATTATGGGTTTACCCCCCCCCCCCAAATCCCAATGCTACTTGAGACGGCAGTGTAGGCAACACATAGCTAGGAGGCTTTAATATAATCATGTACCCATACCAAGTCTAATGTAGGAAACAAGTGTAGAAAACATACCGTATTAGGATTGAAAGCTAACATGGATGCTCTTTTGGGGTTTTCTGTCTATGTCCGCCCTTGTGGTTGTATCTATGTATCTACACACATACCTGTGGAATCTTGTAGGTGTTTAATATATTGGCCATCTGAAGGGAGTTTTGTGAGGTGAGCCCTCCAATGACAGCAATTAATTTATCTTCCCCATTACAGTGGTAATTGGGGATAATTCGTTGTCCCATGGAAAGAAGAGCAAGAGTTTTCCAACACGTTAGCAAAGGATTAAAAGCATTCTCATAAAATGTTGATCCCAGTGTGATGTTGGAGAAGAATTTGGCATTCTTGTTGATCTCTTGCATGGCAAAGATGAAGGCAAGAACATGCTGGAAGTTTTTTGGGATCAGTCTGCAATGAGACGAAGAATGACTGCAACACTGGCGGAAGAGAAACAACTGTGTTTCAGATTTGATTTGAGAATCCATGTACCTTGAATGTTGCAACCCATAGGAAAGGAACACTTTATTCAAACTAATGAAACTAGAGCAGTCTCCTTATAGATTTTGATTAGATTTATGTAAATGGTGAATTCAAAGGGATTCATTGTTGTGCTGTGGATGAATTGGTGGGTTTGGATATGGGAAACCCAGAAATAAAAAGCTGTTAAATTCTTCTGTTAACCCCTTTTGCCTCTCTCTTAAACACAATGTCCATGCCTACCTCTTGTTCTGCTGCTTTGTCCACCACACCTCCCTTCCATTTCTGAACCATGAAGTATTCATGGGAATGTGTTCTCAATTCAACCTGTAGAACAACCATTGAGTATACCAGTCTGCTCCAAAACACAAGGGCTTTTTACCAGCCCTTGAATCACAGTGTAAGAGAGGAAGAGAGATAGGAGGGTAGGACTGGGATGGTCTTTCCTTCTGTCTCTCTCTCTCCCTCTCTCTCCCTGCTACATTTGGACTGCCAGTAGTGAGCTCCAGGAACAGCAGATGAGCAAAATCTGCAGTAATCCCCCCCCCGCTAGCTGCTTTCTGCACGCTGAGTTTTCTAAATTGCTGATTTAATGCAACTCCAAGCCATTATCAAATGACAGAGCCGATTGCTTCTGGGGAATGCAGGGTCTGTCTCACCCAGGCTCCGTTTATTTTGTTGGGATAGGATGATCCATTTGCTCTGGGTCTCTTTGCAAACCAGCTCAGCTCACTCCAATCTTTCCTTACCCTGCTG